GCTCGGATTGAGGAATCGGAGAGCAGATTTGAATTACAGTCGCTTGAACAATCTATTACATTCATTTATGTACTAATACCCTTGGGAAAGGTATGAATCCTCTTCTTCTCCCCCAGTTATGGGTAAATAGCAGGACAGGCCGGGTTCTATAGTCTTGGATGGCAACTGGTCTACCGCAGAATGAAAAGGCAACCTACTGCGGGTAAAAATCTGCCTGGTCAGTCATGTATCGAAAGATACATGATCGCCTAAGCGTATATCACGCATGGCACATAAATTACTGACTTTATCTTCTTGCATGTTTGAAATCTGTAAAATTGCTATTAAAATTGTATCTCCTGTTTTTGTTTCTAATGCCACAGTTACCACCATTCCAAGAACCACAGCTTTTACAACTTCCAACACTAACGCTACTCGGAACACTGATACTACTAATCTCACGGACACAACGCCAACTGTAACTCCAACAAAGCTACCACCAGAAATAGTCGAATGCTGTCACTGGAAATATTGTGATATGAATGCCAAACATCCCAGGATTTTATTTTGAGAACAAGGGTCATTTCGTGCAGTATCAGCTGTTTACTAACTCCGGCAGTTTTTTGTTTGTTTGTTTTTTTTGGGGGGCGTTTTTTATGTATCCGTCAACTTTCAAAATTCAATATGCATTTCTCCACTGATAGATCAGCAGTCTAACTATAAAGTAGACAGCAATGGAGTCTCAGTTCGTAATTTATTAGGCTGTGCTAAATTTGTCAGTGGACCTATATACAGCCATGCATTTTTAGAATAATGCGTACTATCAAAAGAACTGAAAATGGTTCAAATTTAAGACATGATATTTTCTTAACCATGAAGAGTTAACAACTGTGGACAACTGTAATTGACGTGTTTTCCAAGTAATTTCTTAGAATTTGATTGGCTTTTTTAGGTTTTATCCTTATTTAAGAGCAAAATTTTTAGAAAAAATGTCCCTTTATTAGTAGGTATAAAAAATGTAATTCCGGAGAACGAAATTCATACCAATGATGTTCATGTAAAGTCGATCTGCAATTTGTCTTCTAAATAGTCGACTTGAAGAAAGGGAAAAAATTGTTGTTGTTATCAGTCACTCCAGAAGTGATTGGTATCAGCCTGGCTAAACCAAGGATATGCGTCTATTTTTCTATTTAATTGCATAATATAAATCGAAAGCTGTTTTGTTTGATACGATTCTGCTAAAAGTAATCGTCAGCAGTAGTAATTTTTATAAAATAATCCAGTTTATGGTTCAAGTACAAACTTCATGTTTTTTTTCCGTTTTTGTTTATCAACTTCATTCTTGAAAAAATAATGTACAATTAGATTTTATTCAATTCTATATTTGCCATTATTTGCAATGACATTGTCACAAAACAGCCCGCTTTTCGATATCTTTTGATTAAAATTCCGCAGGTTTTCATGTGAAGATGTTTTCGACGATCTCTTAAATCGCGTTTTCATTAGACAAAATTTTTCGCATCAAAGCGTTTTGCAGTGATTGAAAATGTTAATAATCGGTCGGTACAAGGTCAGGAGAATATGGTGAGAATACCGAGTTGTAAATTCTTTTCCTATGTTATCCAAGTTGCTTTTTGACCAAACTTTTAAGGGATAGGCTGCTGGACGTATAAATGAGTTTCATTATGTTTTAAGAACGAAGGAATAATACCCCAACGATATCATCATACATACAACATTACCTTTCTTCCATGGAGCTGAGCTTCATGGAAGGTTGGTTGTGAAGATTTTTCCTTGTCAATCCGCTGATTGATTTAGCAGTTTGGATTATACTCTATTCGTCATTAAATCGGTTCTCAAAAACGGAAATTATTTATGAATCAACCGAATATATACAAGGTGCGATGGATAAATTGTCGTCTAAATGACATAAAACATGAAAATAACACTGACATCTCATTTTAACAGATATGTTTACCAAAATTGCACAAAAATATCTTGAAATACTAAATTTAATCAATAAAATCCCTATTGGCTTCAACTATGGCCTCCAGACGACTTCGAAATCTTCTGGACAGTGTCCTTGTTTAAGTTGGTGAATGCTGCCATAATCCTTGCCTTCAGTTCATTTTTGGTGTTACAAGGAATTTTTGTTGGTCTCAGATTATAAACAAATCAATCTCTGTGCTTAAGAATATGGAAAGTAAAATACTTTAAATCTTCCAAGTATAAATGGATTAACATATCTGACAAAAGAATAAATGCCTTTAAAAAAAGGAAAAGAAATCTATTAAGTGCTGATTAGCTTTCTTAGCAAAATATATGATAAACTTGAATCAGAATTACAATAAATACCAGGACTTTGCTCGAGAGCTATAAAAGTCTTGAATATGAACTAAATGATCACATCTGAATCATAGGAACATTTCCGTTGGGATAGAAATTGGAAAAATTTAATTGAATCAGATCCTGTCTGTTGAAATGGGGGAGAGTATTGCTATATTATTTTAAATTAAATAAACTTTAGTAAAAAAAGAAACGCGAATTTATCATTATTATTATTATTATTATTATTAAATAATAATAATGATGATGATGGCAACTGAGAAATAAGAAGAAAAACATTAACAAAATAAAGGAAGGAGTGAGAAGGAACAAAAAAAAGACACGATGAGGTTAGAAACAAGCGAGTAAGACTTTTAAAAAAGTAGGAGAAACAAGAAATGAGTTAAGAAAGTCTGAGGTTGGATTTTTTTTTTTTCCTTTAGTAACTACTGGTACCAACTGACGCATGCGCATGCACATTTGAAATTTCGGGTTTTAGGGTTTCGTAGATTTTCTATATTTTATTGATAGTTATTTATCATTACTGTTTGCTTCTTTTAGTTTTTTTTTTTTCTTTTCTATCTTCTTTGGTGATTTACTATTTTTATTCTGTTTTTATAGCGATAAAGCGATAAAGACGAAATATTTGTTTTTGCTTTTCATCTTATTCATGAACTTTTTATACTTACGCGTTCTAAACCTATTTCCTTTCATTTTCCATTACTCCTCTGCTTCCTGATTTCTTTTTCCCTTTTCCCCGTCTCTTCCCCCCACCTCCCTATATTTTATCTTGATTTTTTTTCATCCTTTAATTTTTTTTATTTATCCTTTTCTGGCCATCAATTCTTTTTACTCCATTGAATTTGTTTCTCAGCATCCGTCCTTCCTTCTTTCATGTATGCTTTTCTTCTTCCAGTTGGTATTTTTTCATTCTCTCCTTTACTCTTTTTCTCACTCTCATTCCTCCTTTTCCCTTCTTTTAGCACCTTTCATTCCTTTCTTCCATTCAATCTCATTTCTGCTTCGTCATCATCAACTTACTCCATGTAGTATATTTTTCTTATCATATTCTTTTTGATTTCTTTTATTTTCATTTGTTTCCCGACTTGCGGAGAGCTCGCAATGATATGACAATCTTCGATTGCACGGCCTTAATTGGGAGGGCGTATACTGCAACCTTGGTTAATATACGCTGGTTCGTCGACATCATAGGGGGTAAGAAAGCCCAGTGGGTAAGGCGTAGAGTTTGGAGTGGGAAATAGCGGCGTCGAGGATGCGGATGGCGGGGATGATTGAAAATGTGTCGATGGTAGTCATTGTGGTGGTAGCGGTAAAGGGAAATCAGGTAGGTAATGGGGAAGGACAACCAAAGGCGGGAAAATATTAAAGGAAATACGGTGATGACTTGGTTAAAGTTATTATTATCATTATCATTGTCATTATCATTATCATTGTCATTATCATTGTCATTATCATTGTCATTATCATTGTCATTATCATATTTGTTGTTCGTAGTGATACAAATTAGATCACCATCATCATCATCATCATCATCATCATCATTATTATTATTTAACATGAAAATATGAAAACAGTACAAGAAGGGATAATTTGGAACACAAAGTAGATCTACGTATTTAACAGAAAATAGCGAAATTCTTCATAATAAAAGTTATATTATTGATGATGTTAATAACTAATGTAGTTTTGAGAATTATAAGAAACCAATTTCAAAAAGTACTAAACACAAAAACTCGTTATATAATAAATGATTATAATTACCTCACGTAACTCTCCGTACGGATGAAAGTGAATTTTATTTCTATCTAATCGTTATGACTACCAAGATTATTACATTTTTATCGTTATAACTACTACGATTACAATTAGTATTTCCCCTGATAATTGTCATAAATATAAAAATGTTAATGATTTAATACTACTAATAATAGATGAATACGTGAACAAATGCTAACAATAATTACATTGCTGATACTAATAATATGAGGAATATGATGATAATGTTGCTGACGACCACGGCCACGACGACGATGTTGATGATGATGATGATGATGATGATGATACCTAGAATGAAAAGATAACCGAAAGTTACATTAAATTTATGAATTCTGTTTCCATCACTATTATTATTATTATTATTATTATTATTATTATTATTATTATTATTATAAGTGATGTTGATATTGTATTTTTTTTAATAATTTATAATAATTGAGATCAACAAAATTGAAAATTTACATGAACAGTATTAAGATGAAAAGAATAAAACCATTTACTGCTATGACCAATAATAATAAAACAAAAATAAATCTACTGCTATAATAATCCTATCGCTGCTATAACAACCACTACCACTAATAATAATAATAATAATATTAATAATAATAATATCATTAAAAGAAAACCAAGAAGCAAAACCTCTACAATAATAACAACAATAATTATCGTCATGATTAACAAAGTCGAACAAGGGTTGAAAGGTGGCTAATGAGTAGAAAGAATGAAAAAGAAAAATCGAATTTGGATTCAGAAAAGGAGGATCCCAAGGAGGAAGAGAACGTAAGCGATTCGAAAAGATGAAGTAAAAGAAATAAATGTCGGCAAATATAAAATACGTCGATGAAATCGAAATTGTGCAAGTGGTGAAAAGAAGTGAAAAAAAGGGCAACAATTTTTCAAAGAATCAAAAATTCAGAGACAGAGAGAGAAAATAAATTAAAGGAACAAAACCAAAGTGTGACAGAAATCATAAGAAAAAAAATGTAAGGCTGGAATATGAAGGGAGAAGAGAAAAAAGGAGACTGAAAGAAAAAACAACAAAACTGAAGGGCAAATGAAGAATAAAGAAAAATAGCTTCATTGATGAAAAGAAAAAAGGAAAAAAATGTTAGAAAAGGAAAGTGACAGAAAGAAAGAAAGAAAGAAAGAAAGAAAGAAAGACTAGGGAAAAAAAAAGAGAGAGATGAGAAAATCAAAACACAAGAAGAGAAAGAGGGAAAAGATCCGGAAGAAGGAAACTGAAGAAAATGTAAATTTGAAAAAAGAAAGATGTTAAGAGTGTAGAATCTAAACAAATAAAAACTGAGTAATAAGAATTTGGAAGAAGAAAAGGAAAGAATAAAAAAAAAGGTAAATGGTTATCAGAAGATATAAAGGAAAACAAACCAACTACATTGCAAAAGGGAGATAAAGAAAAATAAGGAGAAATCACAGACGCAAAAAGAAAGAGGAATAAGTTAAAACAATAAGCAGCGAAAAGAAAAAAGTTAAGGCAACAGAGAAAAGTAAGAAAACAAGATGATAGAGGTGAGAAAAACGAAGTAAAACACAAGTAGGCGGTCTGATAAAAAGAATAAAATGTGTTTGAAGAGAGGATTGCTCGTTTCATCAAAAACATAAGAAGTGAAATTACAATGGAATTTGGTTAAATAATAGTATGAATATTTTAATGGCCAACAAAGAAAGAGTTAATATAAGGGAAAAGAGGAAAAGAAGAAGTGAGAAATGTTAGAAACAAGCGAGTAGGAGAAAGTAGAAATGTTAGAAACAAGAAAGTAGGAGAAACAAGAAAAAGAAAGGGTATTTGGTAAAGTGGAGGAGAGAGCATAAAAGTTGAAAAGTGAGAAGAGAAAATGAAAATCCTTACAGAAATGAAAGAATAATGCGTTTGAGAAAGGAAGACTGGAAGTTAGACCAATAAAAGCAAGAGAGAGAAAGGGGAATTTACAAGTTTATTAGTATCTAAGTCAATTAAAGAAGAAGAAGAAGAAAAAGAAGAAGAAAGAGGGGAGCCGTAGCGGGTAAGTAAGAAAAGAGTAGGAATGAGAACGGGAACTCAAAAAGAAGTAAAAAGGATAAAGAAAAAAATTTGTAATGAAACGAACCAAAAGAGGAAAATGTGGCAAACTGAATAATGGGTAAGATGAGAAGGAAAAACAGTAAATGACAGAATGAAAGAAAGAAAAGAAGAAAAAGCATGCGGAGCAAATGTAGGAAGCGAGATCGATAAGGAAAAAATACATCAAGCTCTATACTATTAATGACAAAAGTAATAATAATAATAATAATAATAATAATAATAATAATAGACTGACTCTGAAAAAGACTAAAAGGGGAGGAGAAAGAAGAGGATTCCGAGAAGATAGTCGAAAAGAGGACCAAATTTGTAAACGTGGTCAGGTTGGATAAGTGCAATGGACATTTTTTTTTTCATTATTTTTTTTTTTTGGTTATCTTCATTAGAGCAGACTTTCTTCATTAGTGCTTAAATTTTGGTTGATTGCTTAGCTTGTGGTTTTATGTTGTTTTTATTACTTCCCCTGTTGCACATTTGAATGTTTTCATTGGGAATAGGTGGCGCTCCATTAATGCTTTTCTTCATTTCGTTTCATAGTGTTAATTTATTTCATTCTTTATGCTCCCTTTCTTATTTTGTTTTTCGTTAATTTCTCCTAAATTCTTTCAGTTTTACTTCACCTTTTTTTTTGCATACTCTTTCCGTTTTTCTTTTCTTTTTTTTTTTTACTTCCACAAAAAACATTAATTGTTTCTGTTTTCATTTAATGTTATTTCGTTCCTCTTTATCACACAAATTAAATATGGAGTTCTTTTTTTCTTTCATAACTTTCTTTTTCTTTTTTATATTGATTTATTTTCTTTCATTCTTGTTTCTTTTTCTTTCTTACTTTTTAATTGTTGTTGCTATTCTCTTTTTTCCTGGCGTATTTCAAATATACATGCATCAATCTATCTATCTATCTATCTATCTATCTATCTATCTATCTATCGTATGTGTCAAACATAGCTATTCACTAAAGATACAGTTTGAAGTAATAAAAATATGTCAGGTTATAATAAATTTTTAATTCTTCAGAAATTGCTTTGCTTACGTTTCGGAAAAGAAATCGAGCAGATGTGTGTTTTCGAGAACATCTGAACGAAATGATGTGCATTCATTAAAAGTGTACATAGATTCTTGCTGGGCTGTGACGATGTCTGTGGCTGGGCGGTCTCAAGTACGCCGGATCAGGCGGTCTTTTCTTTTACACTGTTAAAAAATTAAATTAATTAAAATGGGGCGTCTATTCAAACACAAGTATCACTAGAAATAGCATTTGAAGTAACACACACACACACACACACACACACACATATATATATATATATATATAGAGAGAGAGAGAGATTTAGAGAGACAGAGAGAGAAAAAGGGGGAGAGAGTTAGAGAGAGAGAGAGGGAGAGAGATTTAGAGAGAGACAGAGAGAGAAAAAGGGGGAGAGATTTAGAGAGAGAGAGAGAGAGAGATGGGTAGATGGAGACTGGTTTGTATAGACTTATGGATCAAGAATGTCGATAATGGTCAGACGTAAGAGAATATATCCTTTCACGAATAAAAATCGCAAAACCTGTTTTTCCGTGAATCATTGGTCATTCCCAAACCATTTCACAAGTCCTACAGGCGTTTCAAAGCTTCCTTAAACTTTGTTTATCCCGACGTAATGTTCCCGATTAGCTTCGACTGATTGTTTATGGCGCATATAGAGAAGAAAACGGACGCCAGTGAAATTACGTTGCCTCGAGACAATTGCCAGCAAACGGGCTCTTTCACACTCCATCCATACCTGTACACTTGTTTGCCTAAGTGTAGAAATCAAGTTTTGTGTTATCACAGGACTGGATTCATCGTACAAACTGTTGTGACCAGCCTTGATTAATTTAAGATTTATGAACGGAAGTCGCTTTGGAATTTTCTTTTTCGGATGTATTTTGTCGCAGTTCCCATTTTGTAATATCCTGATATCAAGTTTGCATTAATTGCGACAAGAAATGAAAGCATTCCCCGTTTTATAAAGAGTCAAGTACCAAGTAGATTCGCTAAAACGTTAGCTTTTACTCTAATGCCATTGTATTTTTATTATCAATTTCATCAAAATAAATGGCTCATTTTTGAAAGGCTGATATTTTTTTTATATTATCTATTAACTAGCCGAATTACCTGCGCCTTGCTGCGTGTCCTACATTTTTGTTGTAAGAAAATGATGATTGATTTTAAATCATTGTTATAATTTGTGGAGAAAAATGATGCATTTAGATATGTGTTCTTGCCGATGTGATCTCCATCTTCTGGCTTTCTCCAGCTATATTTTGGACAGGAATCATTCCCTTGTTCAAATTTAAATCAAAGAGAAAAAATTTCCGTTAGGGGTTTGTGCCCCCGGAGATCCCCTTTGATCAAAATGAAATTTTACTTATCCAAGTAACCTTGCTCAAATTTAAATTTAATTTAACTCAGAGGGAAAAAATTTCAATAGTGGAGTTGTGCTTCCCGGAGCCCCTTTGATCAAAATGATCTTACCGATGTGACCTCCATCTTCTGGCTTTCTCCTTCTATATTTGAGATAGGAGTCATTCCCTTCTTCAAATTTAAATTTAATTTATATCAAAGGGAAAAAAATCAGTGGGATCTTGTACCCCCGGGACCCCCTTTGATCAAAATGAAATATACTTATCTAGGTACCTCCAAAAATTCGTATACTAAGGTTTTGAAGCTTTCCACCAGCTTCAGTTGAAAGCTAAAGGATTAATTTTTTTTAATTCCAGAAAAAAAACACTGTGGAGTATTTCAAATAGAAGTTTGAATTATTTTTAGTCAATTCTTCCGAAAAACCAATCGAAACGGCCATTTTTAACTTTTTTAAAGAGATATAAACAAAACTTATGTTTTCGTTTTTGAAAATTCCGCTAAAATAAAATATACAGTTCTGAAACGTTACTTTCGTAAAATTAATTAATTTAAAGTTAAATTAATCTGTTCTGAAACAAATATCACTTCCTCATATCATAAAATTTTGTAGACAGACATTTTTTGACCTCGGAGTCTTGTTATTTTCACGTCTCCATCGATAATTTGATGACTGAATGTGTTGACAGTTTTAGTATGGTGCACCAAAATTGATATAATTTTGTGAATTCTAAGTAAGAACTCTTTTTTTTATTCTAATAATAATCTAAAATAATATTAAAAATTGCATACATTATTGAGTTACCTCTATAATGGTATTTCATTATTTAATAGCTAAGATAATGATAAATAATTTTATTAATTATTAATATTACATTAATTTATTACATTTTTAATTTTATAACTGAGATAATAATTAATAAAATCATTATCATATTAATAATTAAATTATCTCACTCGGTTATTAATTGTTTAAATCGATAAATGAGATAATTTTATTATCTCAATTTAATTTTTAATTTAATAATTGTGAGTGAGATAATTTAATAACTATCTCACTATCAATTATTAAATATTTAAATTGATAACCGAGATAATATATTAATTTTAATTATATTATCTCAGTTATTAAATTAAAACGCTGTGAACATATCATTTATATTTTCAGTTCTAATAAACGGAAAGCAATCCGTCAATCAGAAAAAAGAATTGTGAAATATAATAGTCTCATGTAGGTACCAACATGAGATTGCTGGAAAATGAGCATAGCAGGATAATAACGGCCTTAAAGTTGACGAAAACAAAATTTTGTTGTCAAAATGTTTATATTTTTATTAAGAGGAAAGAACAAAGTAATTTTTAATTATTTTTCAAAATTTTCCTGTCTTTATTAGTACATTCTATCTTTTGATTGAAAAACCTCGTTTCTCTTCATCAGTGAAAGTCCTACTAAATAACATGGCGGATTTTTGTGCATTTTTTTTAATGGCAGTCATTAATTTTGAAAATCTTGCAAAAATAAAACTTAATAAAAATTTAATGAAACTTTCAGAAACTATTCATAAACGATGGAAATTATTATAAATATGTTTATTTTTTTTAAAGTCATGGTAAAATTTCTTTTTATATTTATTACTCCCACTAACTAATTTTATGAAAACTCTTGAAATTCAAAAATGTACATTTTTCGTGATTAATTAGTTAAATGCACAAGGCTTTGATGAAAGCAAATCATTTTTTTTTAGTTGACACCCTTCTACCTTAAAATCAGCTCTGAATTGTAACATACAAAATAAAACAAAGATATTATTTAATTTCAAAAGCTTTTAGTTGCTTTTACTTGTTTTTATGAATATGGATAATATTGTCTGAAAGCAAAAACATTTTCGATGAAAAATAAATTTTTACAACAATTATTTGTTATTTCTTAAATTATATTTTTTTTACATTAAAGTTGTTAAATATTCTAAAATTAATGAAAATATTGCACAGTTTATTATTATAAAATAAAGCTGATTACAATCAGCAATCGATAAAAATCTAATATAACATGGTTTTTTGTGTCCAAAAATAGCTTAATTCAAATATACGAAAGACAGGAAGCATCATGAAAACAATAGTCCGTCACGTGATTTGCGTTGGTAGTAACATAAACATTTTCACTATAAAATTCTGCTTTCGTCAAGTTTAATGCCGTTTTTATCATGTTATGCCTACTTAAAAATAACGAGGTAAATAAGTTGTTCACATAAAGCTAAACTGTCACTTGTGATATTCCGTACTATAACTTTTCCTCCCGTAAGATGTCAGTGCCTGATGAAATCACGCACATGTCACTTGTCAATCAACACCGCTGTTAAGAGCG